CCTGGCAGGAGAGGTGGTGAGAAGTGCATGATTCATGTGCATTTGGAGGAAGCACCCACAGTCCCTGCTTGGATCAGGAGCGTGGGTGTAAAAGAGGGTGGAATCAAGATTGATTCCCAGGTTTTTGGTTTGAGGGGATGGAGTTATCATTTACTGAGATGGGGAAGTCTGGGTAGGAGTCCACTGTGAGGAAACAGTCAAGAGTTCCGTTTTAGCCAAATTATGTTGGAGAAACCTATTACGTATCCATGGAGATGTTGAAAACTAGTAACACTCAGCCAACACTTAACTGAGCACACTCTGCATTAATCCCTTCATCAACCCCCTGAAAAACAAACGATCATTATGCCCATTTCACTGATCAGAAAACTGAGGCTCACAGTAAGATATTGTGTATAGGATGAGAAGAAAGCCATGTAGAGCCCCAAGAAGCCCTCACATCTAAAAAGCTACAGGAAAAGGCTTCCAAAGGGGTTCTGAGCTCCCCAGAAAGGGGTTCTCCTAGGTCAGCCTGATGTTGTCAGGGGGCCACATGAGAGAAGACAGGGATAACAAAGTGTCCAGGGGATTGGACCACAGATCTTCTATAGTTGACCCCAGGCAGTGTGGTTAGGGCCCTCTTTGCATTCCCAAATCCCTCAGGCAAAGTATCACCAGGCTTGTCAAGTCTCTTATAATTGTCTGTGTGTCTACCTGGCCCCACAGATTGAAGGAAGGGGCATGTCTGATCCATTTTGGTGTCCCCCGTGCCCAGGTCAGGGTCTAGACCAGCGGTTCTCAACCTGTGGGTCTCGACCCCTTTGGGGGTCGAACGACCCTTTCACAGGGGTCACCTAAGACCATCGGAAAACACATATATAATTACATATTGTTTTTGTGATTAATCACTATGCTTTAATTATGTTCAATTTGTAACAATGAAAATACATCCTGCATATCAGATATTTACATTACGATTCACAACAGTAGCAAAATTACAGTTATGAAGTAGCAACGAAAATAATTTTATGGTTGGGGGTCACCACAACATGAGGAACTGTATTAAAGGGTCGCGGCATTAGGAAGGTTGAGAACCACTGGTCTAGACAGAGCAGGGACTTGAATGAAATGAGCTGCTTGATGCCTTGTGAAGGCCACAGGCCTTGATGCTTCTTCTGGCTTGGGAGGCAAAGTACCACATTTCAGATTCAGCACTTCTACCAGGCAGCCGTGTAGATACATAGAGCCCCTAAATGATTAAAAACCAACAGGGACATCATTTTTCCTGCCCTCATTTTCCAGAGGAGGAAGTTGAAGCTTGGAGCAATGAAGGCACAATCCACAATCAGTGGGGATGAATCGTGCTCACATACATGGCCCTGACTCTGCCTCATAGCTCCCCTTCCATAAACGCTAAAGCAGGGGTCCTCAAACTTTTTAAACAGGGGGCCAGTTCACTGTCCCTCAGACCGTTGGAGGGCCGGACTATAGTTTAAAAAAAAACTATGAACAAATTCCTATGCACACTGCACATATCTTATTTTGAAGTAAAAAAACAAAACGGGAACAAATACAATATTTGTATTTGCATGTGGCCCGCGGGCCGTAGTTTGAGGACCCCTGCGCTAAAGCCTAGGTTTCCTTACCTACAAAACCAGGTTAGACCCAGCAGTCTGAGAAAGCTCAGCCATGGTCCCTTTCTATGAACTCACAGGCCACAGGCCACAGGCCCCGTGGTGGGGGGAGGAGAGATCCCTCAAGAGGCTGTTTATCATCTTGTTGGACCCACCCCCACCCTTGAACTCTTGGAGCAAAACATTCCCAGAAACAGGGTGATTCATTCACAGCACTATTTGCCAGTTCCAGAGAAAAGACAGAACATGAAATACATTCTGCAACTTTTAAAAAAGGAGACAAAGAAATTTCAAGATGAAGTTTCCCTTTAGTGGACAGAGGCTGAGGGAGCTGGGACATACATGTTTTTCCTTCCAGAGATCAAGCTTTGTGGGGAGGAAAAGATCATGGTTTGAGCCAACTTCTCCCAAAACACAAGGTGGGACCCTCTAAGACCACCAAAAACAACAGTGTTTTTTTAAACAACATGATGGGCTGAAACTGGCAACCACTGTTAATGTCCACTGGATGTGAGTTAAAACCAAATTAGATTGGCTGCTTTTTATGCTAATCCATGCCAGGATTCCAACTGATTGCTCCTCTTAAATTAAGCAGAGGGAGCTGCTGAATGTTAGAGGGTTTGGACATCTGGCTACCCAAGAAGGCATGGACAGAGGTTAACAGGTGAGTCTGGTGGGGTCTTGCGGGTAGAATTATAGGGAGAGTGAACGGTAAACTTCCATAATCCACAGAAAACCAACCTGGGATGACTCTGTCTAGCAGTACGAAGAGAGGTGGAAAGCTGTCTCTCATTTTGAAGTTACAAGATATCTGTGCCTCCAGTTTGGTCTCCTACAGCATGAATTTGTACTCAACTCTTTAAAAATTATATTTTTAGCTCCCAACCCCAATATGGGCAGAAGTAGGAATGAGCTTGATCTCTTTGCCCAAGTGAGAATGTGATATAATAAGAAAGCTCAAGAGATCTGGGTTCTAGTTTGATTCTGTTTCCAAAGAGCTAAATGGTATTGAGCATGTTTCCAGCCCTCACTGGGACTCAGTTTCCCCATCTGTAAAACCTCAGGGAAGAGAATGTGTTGAGGAAAAAGGGATCCTTGAGGATGGGCTTTAGGGTCATACCCCCTGGGTTCTAATCTAATTTTCTAGCTGTGTGTCCTGAGGTAAGTTGATTAACCTTTCTGAGTTTTCTCATCTCTAAAGCAGAGACCATAATATCTACCTCATGGGATTTGCTGACAACTTAACTGACATAATGTGTACAAAGAGCATAGCTTACTTAGTACCTGGCCCACAGGAATATTTTTTTGTTAAGGTGTAATTTACACATAATGAAATGCTCAGATGTTAAACATTCCATTTTGATGACTGCATATCAAGACAGAGAACATTGCAATTACCGCAGAAAGTTTTCTCATGCCCTTTCCTGGTCATTCCTCCCAGAAACAACCCTTGATCTTATCTCTATCACCCTAGGTTAGTCTTGTCTGTTTTAGAATTCTCTATGAATAGGACCAGGCAGTATGCATTGTATTTGTGTTTGTGGGTATGTTTGGCCTTTTCCCCTTAAAATAATAGCTTTGAGGTTCATTCGTGTTATTGGGTGTATGAGTAGATCATTGCATTTGGTGTGTAGCATTTCACTGCACAAACACACTGCAGTGTATCCATTCTCTTGATCAGCATTTGAGTTATTTTCAGTTTTTGCCTATTACTATGATGAAAGTTGCTATGAACATTCTAGCTAGAGTTTAGTACAAGACTTTCATGGGTAAGTATTTCCATTTCACTTGGGAAAATACCTAGGAGTGGAATGCTGGATCATAGGGTAGATGTATGCTGAACTTTGTAAAGAAACTCCCAAATGGTCTGCTAACATGGTTCATTTTACACTTCCACCGGCAATCATTGAGAGTTCCAATCACTCCACAGGCTCCGCAACATTTGCTGAGGTCAGTCTTTTTCTTTTTTTTTTCTTTTTTGTCAGTCTTTTTTATTGTCGTCATTCTGGTATCACATTGTGGTTTTAATTTGCGTTTCCCTGATGACTAATGGACTCCTTTCGTGAATTAATTTGGAATTTTTTTTAAAGGTAGTTCTTCTCCCCTTTGCTGCCATGTAGCTTTCAGCCTCCATGATTTGAAGAACTGTTGAACAAATGAGGAAGGGAAAACTGAAGACACAATCCACCAGAAATCGAAAGAGCTCTCCAACTACAAAAGCAAGCATGAGCTCAACCTTGGAACCTTCTTTTAACTTTGGTTTCCCAGGACTGTGGGGTAAGGACGTGCTCATCTTCTGAGGAAGCCAAGATCATGTTTTAATAATAACAACTTTGTTCTGGATTGAATAATCATTTTCATTGCTCCCATTTATAAACTACTGCTATGCACCATATATACTCACAGTGTGTCTAATTTTTCAATAGCTCTGCAAGGTTGTTATATGATCTCCATTTAGTGAACTTTGAAAATCAGAGATGTGAATTCCTTTGCCTAACACCATATAGCTACATCTCCATAGAATCAGATTCAAAACGTGACTGCTCCAAAATCACATTCACCAAGCTGCCTTCAACACACACACACACACACACACACACACACACACACACACTCAGGAATATTATTCAGCCATAAAAAGGAACGAAGTGCTGATATGATACATGCTACAAGGATGAACCTCAGAAACATCATGCTAAGTGAAAAAAGCCAGACACAAAAGGTCACATATTGTGTGTGATTCCATTTAATTAAAACTAGAGGCCCGGTGCATGAAATTCGTGCATGGGGATCTGTGTGTCCCTCAGCCCAGCCTGCACCCTCTCCAATCTGGGACCCCTTGAGGGATGTCAGACTGCCCAGTGGGATCGGGCCTAAACAGGCAGTTGGACATCCCCCTTACAATCCAAAACTGCTGGCTCCCAACCGCTCGCCTGCTTGCCTGCCTGATTGCCCCTAACCACTCCCCTGCCAGCCTGATCAATGCCTAACTGCTCCCCTGCTGGCCCGATTGCCCCTAACTGCCCTCCCCTGCTGGCCTGATCGCCCCCAACTGCTCTCCCCTGTAGGCCTGGTTCCCCCCAACTGCCCTTCCCTGCTGGCCTGATGGACCACAACTGCCCTCCCCTGCTGGCCGTCCTGTGATGGACATCTTGTGTCCACATAGGGGTGGCCATCTTGTGTGTTGGAGTGATGGTCAATTTGCATATTACCTCTTTATTATATAAGCTATATAGAATGGGTAAATCTATACCTATCAACAGATAGTACATTGATGGTTGCCAAAGGTTCAGGAGAGAGGAGAATGGGGGAAAACTGCTTAATGGGGTTTTCTTTAGGGATGACAAAGTTAATTTGGAACTAGATAGGGGTGGTGGTTACATAACATTGTGAATATACTAAATGCCACTAAATTGTACACTTTAAATAGTTCATTTTATGTTTATTCACTTCAATAAAATTTTTTAACTCCACTCTAGAGCATCATTTTACCATTAGTGATTTAGTCCTTTGGGTAATGATGCCTCCAGAACCTGGGCCCAATCTTTTCCCCCCACAGAGAGCCCTCCTTGAGAATTCCAGGGTAAAAAGGGGGGAGGCAGCAGGATGACTCAGAGTGGGGCCTTGAGTCAGGCTGCCTGAGTTCAATTCCAGGTACCTCCATGCTGTCATCTGTAAAATGGGGATGATCATGTTACCATCCTCATGGGGTTGCTGTGAGGTTGGAGTTGTGTATACAGAGTGTCTGGGCACATGAATGTTTATTCACTAAGCTATATTGCTAGGGCAGGCTACCTTCTCCTAATATCATCCATGCTGCAAATATTTATTGAGCATCTACCATGTGCCAGGCACTCTTCTGGGCCTTGGGGACTCATCTATAAACAAGAACAATAAAATTCCTTTCTTCTTAGAGCTTACATTCCAACCCTATCCAATAAAAGGGTAATATGAAAATTAACCGTCACTCTGTCACGATGGTGGCGCCCATAGCCACAAGATGGTGGCGCCCAGTCCTCTCAGCCCCGCCGGAGTTCCCCAGTGGGGCGGCTGCTGAGAGCGGGCAATGTGAGCAGCCTGGCAGAATGCTTGCTTTATTGCTCCGGCTACGAGGCAAGCATTCCACCCTGGCCACAGAGGGCCTCTGGGCAGCAAGCATGGAGCGGCTGGGGGGGGGGGGCAACTCTTGCATTGTTGCCCCGACGATGAGGCAAGCATTGCGCCCGGCCGCAGAGGGCCTCTGGCCAGGCTGGGCGCAGAACACTTGCATCGTTGCAGACCGGGCTGAGGAAAACCCCTCCCCCCGCCCCATGCACGAATTTCATGCACTGGGCTAGTTGAGATAAAAGAAAACACACCAAGTAAGTAAAATACATAGTATATTGGATGATGGTATATGCTCAGAAGAAAAAATGAATAAGGGGTAGGGATAGGAAGTTTTGGGGAAAGGTTACAATTTTAAATTGGGTTTGAGAAGTCTTCCCTGAATAATGATCTGAGGGAAGTAAGGTATATTCATTTCCTATTGCTGCTGTAACAAGTACACAAACTTAGTGGCTTAAGACAACCCAACTGTAGTATTTTACAGTTCTTGAGGTCAGGAGTCCAAAATGGGTCTTGCTGAGCTAAAATCAAGGTGTTGGCAGAGCTGTTTTCCTTCTGGGAGCTCTAGGGAAGGTCCATGCCTTGTCTTTTCCAGCTTCTAGAACCTGCCCACATTCCTTGGCTCATGGCCCCACATTACTCCAACTTATGCTCCCACCATCCCATCTCCTTCTCTTCGACTTTCCTGCCTTCCTCTTTTCCTTATAAGGACCCTTGTCATTTTATTGGGCCCACCTGGATAATCCAGAATCATCTCCCCATCTCAAGATCCTTAATTTAATCATACCTGCAAAGTCCTTTTTGCCAGGTAAGGTGATAGTCACCAGTCCTCAGGACCAGGAGGTGGACATCTTTGGGGGCCTTTATTCTACCACTTGGGGCATAGTATCTAGAGAAAGTGGGAACAGCAAGTTCAGAGGTCCTAAGGCAGCAGTTGCCTGGCATGTTTGAAGAAGATGGTGGCCAGTGAGGACGCAGTAGAGTGGGCGAGGAAGGAGTGGTCTCTCACAAGGTCAGAAAGGTGAAGAAAGTGGAGTGGCACTTGCAGGATTTTAGCCTTTACTTGAATGGGAGCATGTGAGGGCCGCGATCTTACGGGTTTTAACAGCATTCCTCTGGCTGCTATGTCGAGTACAGTCTATCATGAGGAGGCTGCTGCACTATCTGGGCGAGATGATGGTGGCTGGACCATGGTAGTAGAGGAAAGTGGTGACACACAGTCTCATTCTGGATTTTGAAGGCCAAGTCACAAGGAACCACTTAAGGGTCAGAAGTGGAGTGTCACAGAATGAGGGGAGTCAAGAATGACTCCAAGGTATTTGGCCTGAGCAACTGGAAGAATGAAGATGCTCTTTAAGATGAGGAAGACCACAAAAAGATCGGACTTGGGACGGCTGGTGAGAGATCAGGGATTTGCTTTGAGATGCATGTTGAGTATCCAATGGAGATACTGAGTGGGAAGTCAGATATAAGAGTCTGGAGTTAGAAGAGAGGTCTGGAGGGATTTGTTTGGGAGACACGGTGGTATTTAAAGCCATGAGCTTGGATGAGATCTTCAAGGGAGTGCGTGCAGAGATAAGAGAACCAAGGGCCCCTCCGAGGAGGAGAACCCAGTGATGTTGGAGGAAAAACCAGGGGAGGGTGTGGTCCTAGAAGCCAAGAGAGCTGAACGTTAGAAACTGTCCAGAGTAAGAATGGAAGGGGGCGGGTGGAGTAGAGGATGACCACCCTTGCTTTCCTAGGTTTGTTCTCTGGCAAACAGCCTCTCTGGGAGATAATTTAAGGGAGATGGACCTGCTGTGGTGGAAAATCTTGCCAGGCCCACTGTAGCAGTGCAGGGACCCTCAAGGCACCGAACCTATTGACACTCACTGAATATTTGTTAAATCCCGAGGAAAGGGCCATGGACTTGGGCCCAAGTCTGAGTTCTGGCACTCTCAAGAAGTCAGGGTTTCAGTTTCCCTCTCTAAAATGGAGATGATACACACTCACCCCTAAGTCCTCCCTCATCAGTCATGACATTTGGGAAAGTGTTTGGCAAACTGTAAACCAGCTGGGCGAATCAGACTTAGGTCGAGGCTTTTCCTTGGCAGCTGACTCAAGGTACATGGCTGGACCTGTATGACCCACCCCACACCACGTGAGGCCTTCGACTTGATTTTTCTCAAGTCACTCTAAGGACAAGCAGCTCCTTCCTCAGGCAACAGGAACTGGGAATGAGTGGGACCTGGTCCCAGTGGAAACTTTAACACATACATGGACATTCACAAGTGTTTCCAGTGACTAAAGGCCACACGAAGCAGCTGGCTAAACCCTTCCTGAAAAGTTGTCCCAGGATGACTGCAGAGCTACCCCCACCCCTGGCCATCCTCAGCCACAATGTCCCACCTCTCCAAGGGTGAGCCCTTACTTCACCCCTAAGGCAGGGACCAGGCTCCCCCTTTTGCTCAGCAACAGACAGCACACAGGAGGTTCAGCATGCAGGCCAGTTTATTCACATTTACTTCCCCCCAAAACTTTTCCACACTGGTCAGGGAATGAAAGAATTGGGGGCTTAGGGAAGAGAGACATGGGATATTGTAGAGGTGGAAGCCAAAAGGCTCACCTTGAATGTGCTATGATAGGATGAAAAGACTTTGGTCTGAGAGTGACAGGCACACCCCCCGCCCCCCCCTTTTCAGAGACTCAGAAAATTGGGCCCAAGAAACACACACTCATTCACCCAAACCTCTTCCATCTGCGGGAGGAGAACCAGGCATTACCCTGACCTGGGTCTTCTGCTGGCTCTCACACCAGGCAGTTTTCAGACCTGGCCATAGCACTACACTGGCCATGGTGTCTTGACCTAAACAAAACAGGTGAGGCCTGGCTCCACCTGCACAAGCGGAAGAGACAAAGGTGACTGATTAGCAGGTCTGTGGTGCACAAATAATGGGAGAGGGCGGTGCTTGTCAGCATTAGCTAATGGCTCTGAAACGTAGTGTAAATCCACAAGGTGGGTAACTAAAGGCCAGGCTCCATGATTAAGTTGAAAACATAATCTGACCGGACTTGTGAACAGACTTCTCAAACAGTCTCTGCTCACTGGGTATTTTAGTCTCCTTGACTCTAAACCACCAAGGAAGCAGGAGGAAGAGGAAGTGGTGGTCTGCCGAGCTGGGACCTGGGACTGTCATGATTGTCCAGATCTCTGAGCCTGGACGGAGCGAGGGAACAGGACGCTGAGTCCCCAGAGGGCCGCCTTCAAGGCCCTTGCCCCTCCCATCCGGCTCCACAGGCCTCGTCTTCTAACGCTTCTTCTTGGCCTCCTTCTTGGGCCTCTTGTTTGTAGAAGGAGCAGCAGCCTTGGGCTTCCTCACTTCCCCACTTCTGGGCTCAGATGGTTCTGTCTCCTGCATGGTGATAAAACAAAGAGTCCTGCTTAGATTAATCAAGCCTGACATCAGCAAAATGAGATCATGTCTGAAGGGACTTTGCAGACTGAAGCATGCCACAGAAACGCAAGGGATGGAAACCATGATGGCTGGGACCCAGGACGGGTATGTGTGCAGGTTAATCCCTGGGAGCGGGGCAGTTCTTAGTAAAGAGAAAGGGAGGCCCTGAGGGCAGGACACAGTCTTTGGAGTCTCAGAGGCCTGGGTAGGATCTAGGCTCCTTCATGTTCCAATTAAGTGACCTTGTGGGCAATCTGCTTCCCTTTTCTGTGCCTTGGTTTGCCCACCTATGAAATGGAAGTAGCGATGCATAGCTTGGAGGACTAATATAAGTAGGCAATAATGCATAAAAAGCACCCAGTAAATGTAGTTGCACCCAGTGGCTGGCTGGTCACCCTGGGCAGGGTCTGGGCAGAATTTGGGTGATGAGCCAGCTGTGGGGCAATGCCACTATGGCCTGCTCTCCCCTTCTGGCCCTGCTGTTCTCCTACCATTCAACCCACAGAATGCCAGGGCCACAGGGGTGGCGTGCTGGCAGGTAGGCAGCCACTGCACTGTTCTGTGGAACCTGGCAGAGGTGCCCCGTGGGGTGGGCAGGAGGCAGCTTCAGGGCAGAACTCCAGACTCTCCCGACGCCTGGGGAAGCTCTGGTTTTCATCCGTCATAGACACTGTGATTCCTTCCCAATAAGACGGTTTAATCAAAGGTTCTGTGGCCTAAAAGAGGTTCAAACCTGCAGATCTGCCCCCGGCCTTCACTGTGCCGATATAAAAAGTGGGCTCTGGGCAAGGGCCTCAGCCTCTCCAGCCACACAGGCTCCTGTCAGAGGAATCTGGGGAGGACTCAGTCCTGTCGAGTATCCCTTCCTCCCCTGGGTGATCAATCACAGTGCCACAGCCAGGCGAGACGTCAGCAAGCTCCATCCAGCTCAGAGAGCACTAAGCACAGCTCCCAGCCGCATCTGGCCCACAGGCGAACTTCACTTGGCCTACAGAGTTTATTTTTAAGAATTTAAGCCAATTGGGAGATTTCCCATTCAATCCGGATCCATAGCATTTTTGAAAACTTTAAACATCCGGTGACACTAGTCCTGAATCCCCTTGTGGAAGAAATGGGCTGAACTGCAGCTGCCCCTTTCTTCATGTGCCCATAGCCCCACGACCCTGGTGCCCCCAACACTACGGAAAGAAAATGTTTCTCAGTACCTGTGTTCTTTTATGAAATAATTTGAAAACAAAACAAAACAAAAGACTAAGAATATTAGGAGAGAACACTTTTTCTGGAAGAGAAAAATATTTCCCCCTGTTTAATTGGACAACTCCCAGCTTCAGCTTGCTTTAAGCTCTATCCTTCCCAGCTCGTCCACTGGCCCCTGGTCTAAGTCTCACCCTACAGAAGAGGCAGGACCTCGGCTGGGGAGGGGCAGTCCCCGCCAGAAGGCTCAGTCCAGAGGTCCGTCAGCTCCCTCTTATCAGCCAGTATTGTCTTCTCTCCACCCTGCCAGCTGAGACGTCAGATGTAAAGGCCCAGCCTCAGTCCCAGGAACCTACAAGTGATCTTCTCAAGATAATAAGCAGGCCGGTCTCTCCTCTGGCCAAGTCTCTGATGACAACTCTGGACTTCCCCAGCTTGTCCCTCTGTGCTGACACTGTTTATGTAACTTGGCAAAAAAAAAAAAAAAGAGTCCCATTATAAAAGCAAACAAAACCAAACTTCAGAGGAGCCAGTGTGTCAAGTGCACAGGCTGCAGGCTGCAGAGCTCAGCGGGAAGGCTACTGTTTAAGGCAAACCCCACAGGGCACAATACCTTGGGAGACCTTGGGAGCAGTACCCGTCAGTCCCTGGAAACCAGTGGGTCCCTGAGTGCCCTGGGCAAACAGGCCCTGATTAGACCAATGGTTTATGCACAGGGCACTTGCTGAGGCCTGCCAGGATCTCCAGGTGGAGCCCCACTCTGAGCGCTCTGAGCTCCACCGGTTTCAGAGGGGCCCAGTTTGGAATCCACAGAGAAACTGACATCCATCTGCCGTCCCCTTTGATTCCATCACCCACAGTCTCATGTCCCACACCTGGGATGGCATCTAAGGAGACCACCTCTCCAGCTTCAACTGTGCTCTTCTCCACCACCCCCCACAAACACTGGGTCAGGCCCCAGACTCCCACTGGTCACCCCTAACAAGAGTAGCACCCTTCTTTCCTTGGCCTCCCAGTAAAGCCCTCCCCATGGTTTGGTTCAGTAAGTAGAACACACTCCTACTCACAGTCTAATCTTCCTTCTCTACTCCTCTACTTGTAGCCAAGTACATCTCTCCTCCACCTCTACCCCGCAGGGCCCCAGGAACCTTTTAATGCCACTATTATCTTATCATAGTTACATGTTCTCATGTTGGTCTCCCCTATTAGCCTGTGAGCTCCTTGGGACAACTTCAATTGTTGCTGAATTAATGAATGAATGAATGAATGAATGAATGAGTGAAATGAAAGAACAGGCAAGATCTCCCATAACCATGAGAGATCCCTATAACATAAGACTAAGCATCACTTTTTCCATGGCACAGAGGACACAAGCAGATTTTAAATCCAATATACATACCCTGAAGCATATAGGACTAGACATAGCAACCATTAATAACAACAGCCACAACAGCTGCTCATATTATTTACAATATGCCTGTGTTCCATGGTTTGGACATATTTTTTTTTTTTTTAATCTGCTTTTATTTTTTTTTAATTTTAATTAAATCTTTATTGTTCAGATTATTACATTAGTTACTCTTTTTTCCCACCATAACTCCCCTCCACCCAGTTCCCACCCCACCCTCCGCCCTCACTCCCCACCCACTGTCCTCATCCATAGGTGCATGATTATTGTCC